AGTAACAAAAGAATTTTAAAAGAGCCAGTCCACCCCCCCCCCCCAAAAAAAGTTTACAAAAACAGACTCAGAAGGCAGCTCGATGGCAATTTTATTAGACTTTCGGAGCAAAACAAGAGAGTGGGCAAACTGAAAATCTGGGCAGCTGCCACGAGGAGGAAGATAGAGACAGGAAAGAGAGGGGGGAAATAAACAGGCCTCTTGAGTTAGGGTCTAATAAAGCTGGCATGCCCAGCAACAGAAGATGGAAAGAAACTCCATGGGAGAGAGGGATGGGGCCTTTCAGGGATGAATGAGAGAGTCCAGAGTGTCAGGAAAAGCATGCTTGGGCTTTTGTCCCATGGGGGGATAGAATGCTTTTCTGAGCTAGAGTGCACTTGGAGAAGCAAATACGCTTAACTGTACCATGTGAGGCAAGCTCAGAGATGGCTGCGCTAAGGGTGGTGTGAGGAATAAGTGAATTGTCATTCCCTCCACCATCTTAGCAGTCTCCTGGCGGGGGTCTGACAAGCACAGCTTGGTCAACTCTTAAGGGAGGAGATAAAAGTGTACGGGGTTTTAATCTATTGAGCAGATGAATGTCATGTCTCTTGACAGGGTTAGAGGGAGAACTCAGAATCCATTCTTTTGACCAAGAAGAAGCATCTTTCCTATAATGGACCACAACAAAACCCTGATATCGCCACCTCTTCTGTGGTATTTCAAGTCCTAGGGAGGCAAATGTGATGTTTCCCTTTCAGGGGTTACCAGGGCGCGAGAAGTGAGCCCAAAGCTGACCATAGGGGAGGGGTCCATCTGTGTAATACTCAGGAAATTCCTCTAAACACACAGAGCTGTTCAAAAGAGTCATGAAGAATAAAATATTATTCACCTTGCTTTGCTTAAATGTCCTAGTACCTACAACTGTGCTTCATTCTTACTTGTGCATGTGACCCCAATAGTCCACTACTGTCACGTTCCTCTTCCACTCACTCACTTGATGACCAAATGTCAAGGACACAGAATGTCGTACATAGAGCTAGACCCTCAGAAATAGGTTTGTTTCTGTCTTCAGAGGACTACATGACAGCGATATGCACTATCCATCCTAAAAGTCAGACTCCCTTACATCCTCAAAGCATCCCCTACATCAGCAGTCATGACTGTGGCCAGAGGTTTTCTTTGCCATCTTCAATTTCAGTAGCTGAGAGAAAATGTCTCGCCAAGGACAAGGCAATACCTGTGTCCACAATCCTGTTTTCTCAAATCCTGTCCCAGGCTCTTTTTGTCTTACCTTAAGAAATTCTGGAGACACACTGTGGTGTCTGGCAGGGACTGTTAGAGTCTGCATTAATGTCGAGCCTAGAGAATAATGCTCTGTCCATAAAGGAGAGAAAATAAGGCTTTTAGTGCCAACAGGAATTGGGACTATTCAAAACATAGACATCCCATCTTTTAAAAATAATTTTGTGCCTGTTTCCTCCCCTGGTGGTCCTGGGAATGAGAGATCATGATTTGTGGGTGATTATGTCTTGGTTAGGTTCCCAGGGTCACTCCTGGAGGTTCCAGTAAGCTCAGTTGGAGAAATCCAAATTACAGCACTGACTAGAACTAAGAACATTTCTCTATTTGTGCTGCCTAGTTTGATGTTAACCTAATACAAACTAGAGTTCTTTGGGAAAAGAGAACCCAAGTTCAGGAAAATGACCCCATCATTGGCGTGTGGACAAGTCTGTGGGACATTTTCTCCATTAATGATTGACGGGGAAGGACCCCGCCCATTGTGAGTGATCCAAACCCTGGGCCAGTGGCCCTGGGTGCTGCAAGTCATACGGAGCAAGCCAGTAAGCAGCACCACTCCAGGCTTCTCCTCTGAGTTCCTACCTGGACTTCCCTCAGTGATGGAGTGGATCCTGTATGTTGCAAACTGAAATAAAGTCTTCCCTCCCAAAGCTGATTTTGGTCAACTAAGACATCGATGTTTCTACAAGGCTCTTCTGCTAAGGAGCCTACAAGCCTTCATCATGGCCCTCTTTTGGCTGGCAGGAGACACAGTAGTGTTCTAAATCCTGAGCTTCAGAATTTACAGGAACACATTTTTTTTATCAATGTCTGCAACCTGAAAGGACCATCTTCCTCTCCCTGTACTGTTTCATTGTAGGTTTCCTAGTTTAGCTCACATATATATCTTATCCTGCCACTATCCAGGTACCCAGTGACTTGCTCCTCGTGATCCCTGAACACACCCAGCAACATTAGCACCATTTCCTGTCTATGCATGACCTATCTGTATTGCCACTGCTGCCACAAGATATACATTAGGAGTCCTGTAGCCCTGCTCTGGGTAATGTCTCTGCTGCTGAGCAAGCTGCAAAAGTACCAGTATGGCTTGCTGTTTAGAGATTTTGACTGTTACTGGGGTTGCTCGATGCATTTCATCACTACTGCATGGCTGGTATCTTTGTTAGCTGTGTTCTCTGAGTCTAACCTTTCTTACTCGACAGGATTCTCTGTGATTCCCAACAGATGCTACTGAACAAGTTGCATGTGACCTCTGAGTTCACAGCGTTGGTGTTCCTCCTCTGCAAGGTTTCTGGCATCCTATATTCAGATTAACTTTATGATTTAAGGTTGCCTTAGCATTGCTCACATCTACTATCATCCACAACAAGCCTTCTTCTGCTTCCTTTTGAATCTTCCTTCCAGCAAGAGCATCAGTGAGGGCAGTGGCAGTCTGCAAAGCTGACTCTCCAGGAGATCTTAGACGACAAGCCTTAGGTGGACAACGATGCAGAAAAGCTTTTCTTAAGAAACTATGGAGATGTCTGAATCCCACTAGTGCCGTGATCTTTCATCTATCAAGGTTAGTTTGAAATATCAGCTCATTAAAATCACAGATATAATAGTATATATAGAAATATATGATGTGTTTGTTGTGTGTGTGTATGTGTGTGTGTATGTGTGTGTATGTGTGTGTAGGTAGGTAGGTAGATAATGAGGGAAAAGAAACACGAAGAACAAATCTAACAGGGAACATTCTTCTGGTCCTCTGTTTTAGAATGTTGTTTATACATTTGACTTTTTACACTGTCTTATAGGGAACAACAACTAATAAATTAGCCTAAGTCTCCAAAGATATCTGTGAATGTTGTCTGCCAATGTTCTCTAAAACTGCTGAGATTAAAGGAGTAGATTACTGCATCTTCGGTTGTACACAGGACATCTGTGTTAAATAGAATTGTGACCATGTTATTGTTTTTATTTGGAAACTCAGAATTATTTTCGGAGATGTGTTTGGGTGCAAAGTTGATACAGAGTTTTTAGTGATTAAACATAGCTGACTACTGGATTAAGACAATTCTACAAAATTACTAAATCACATTTCTTACTGTGTTTGAGAAAGCACTGCAGACAAGCATCAAAACAGGGAGTCCAAGAAGGAATGTGGGTGGTCTCGTCCAAAAAGCTGAATGCCCAAAGGCAACATAATGGGAAGGGAGATGCTAGCCCAGGCACCACCATCTCCGTGTCCCGCCCTCTACTAGATGAGCCTCTTTGCTAAACAGTGTGCTCCTGTCATAATGCTTAACCTCACCACATACCAGAAGCAGCAGGCTTTGTGTTTGTGACTTTGTCCCTAGGTTTCTCTCCTCTTGGGACCTGATATTAGTCCCCCAGATGTGAATTATTCTTTTCTCTATTTAGTAACTGCATGTGCCTCTCAAGGCCTCTCCCTCAATAAACTATTTCAATACAAAAGCTTTCCTGAGCAAATGGACTCTACTTAAGATATCCTAGAGAGAAAGGAATTAGATGATATCACGCACTCCACAACATACTCTTACCACCTCCCATTGTTATTTTCATATCCTCTTATCATATTACATCAACCTTACTCTAAGTTACCACCTCGTCTTCTGCACTGATGAAAAAATGCAACTCCAGCCCAAATCCAGGACTCATAGTGTGAAACAAATATTTCTAGGCCAAAGTTATCCTGAATTCTCATAACAAAGATATTCAATTATTTGAGCATATACAACATCCCAAAATATACAGACCTATCTATAAAATAAATTATAATGGATGAAATTTTTCTTTATAACTAAATTATATGTGTGTGTGCATGCATGTCTGTGTCTTTTAATTCTTTTCGTTCATTTTAATGTATACTTTATTACTTAATCCAAATTACCTACTAATAGAAGGAATCTCATTTGTTCTTTCACTCATTGAAGAAATATCAGTGCCACCATGTAGGCCAATGAGATGGCCTAGTGTGTAGATGTACTTGCTGGCAAACCTAATGGCCTAAATTCAATCCCCAGGAAAAACAAGATTAGAGGAGAGATCTCTGACCTCTACAAAGATTTGCATATACGCACACACTCACAATTTTTAAATGTGATTTTTAAATTTACATGCTCCTAAAAAATGAAATAACACACTGTGATATACAAAATATACCAAAATCTAACCTCTGAAAAATATAGAAAGTATTCTTTTCTTTTTAAGCACTAGCCCCTCTGGTCCCTATCTAGATCAGCAGACAAATGTCCTAGAAAAGGTCCACAGGTTGTGGCCCTAAAACATGCTATTCATTGTCCATGGGTGATGGAACACCTCAGTCATGGGGGTGTCAAGATCACCTCTGTGTTTTTCTCAATCTTTTCACATTAGAAAAATATATATAATCCAGAAAGGAGTAGTGCTTGGTCTGTGTAGCCCCCTGAATAAAAAAGTTTGTCTCATAGAATATATTAATATGACATAGAATAACATGGATTACTCCCATGTGATTTAGAGGTCCTGAATTATGCATAGGAAGAATGACTCAGACTACAGAGCCAACAAACTCTGGGTTTGAATCCACAATCCAGAACTCTTAAGCTATTTGTAGGTGACTTGCGGTCATGTTACTCTCCTTTTATTTATAAATGAATTTATTTAGAAATGCTAACAGCATCTACATAATAACATCATGGTCCTGAGGATAAGGGACCGTATTAAGATGCTCAAATATGGTTTATGTTCTCAGGGACACTCCTGGAAGATTTGTGAGCATGGATCCAAACATCTCATCCCACAGCACAGAATCTACACCAATGAATAAAACCAGCCAGCCTGAGAATCCTAAGTGCAGTCCAATCCCAACTCTGCACTTCCTGACCCTCATCATTGCCCTGGTTGGATTGGCGGGAAACACCATTGTGCTCTGGCTCCTGGGATTCCACATGCGCAGGAATGCCATCTCCGTCTATATATTCAACCTGGCCTTGGCAGACTCCTTCTTCCTCTGCTGCCACTTGATTGACTCACTACTACGGATTGCTGATTTCTATGACTTCTATGCCCATAACTTAAGCAAAGAAATCTTAGGCAACATATCAATCATTCCCTATATCTCAGGTCTGAGCATACTCAGTGCTATTAGCACAGAGCGCTGCCTGTCTGTATTGTGGCCCATATGGTACCACTGCCACCGACCAAAAAACATGTCAGCTATCATATGTGCCCTAATCTGGGTCCTGTCCCTTCTGATGGCCATCCTTGATTGGTACTTCTCAGGATTCCTGAATCAGGTTGATCATCATTTGTGGAAAAATGTTGATTTTATTGTAACTGCATTTCTTGTCTTTTTATTTATACTTCTATTTGGGTCCAGTGTGGCCCTACTGGCCAAGGTCCTCTGTGGTTCCATGCGGAAACGACTGACCAGGCTGTATGTTACCATCTCACTCACGGTGGTGGTCTTCCTCATCTGTGGCCTGCCTCTTGGGTTTTACCTGTTCCTGATATACTGGCTTGGAGCTCAATCGCGTCCTCCCTTCTGTCATCTTTACCAAGTTACTGCTCTCCTGTCCTGTGTGAACAGCTGTGCCAACCCCATCATTTACTTCTTTGTAGGCTCCTTTAGGCAGCATAGGCATCATCGGTCTCTCAAGAGGATTCTTCAGAGGGCTTTGGAGGACATGCCTGAGGAGGATGAACGTACAGCCAGCCACCTTCAGAAAACCATTGAGGTGTCAGAAAGTCGAGAATGGTAAATAGTCCCTCCTTTAATCAGACAGGGGTTGAGAGTCAATACTGCACAGACTTATCTTCTCTCAGAAATGCCCCAGGGATTGAAATGCTTTCAAATGTTTTCTTTTAATCCAATTTTCTTATAAATCTTAAAGTAATCAGAAATTTCTCCAACTTTCTTGGTACTATCAATGAATTTCTCGAGTAGCCCCTGTATATTTCTCATTGAACACTTTTTGCTACCAGTTTTATAATGGAAAAGTTCTTTTTCAAACCATAAATCCGAAACTGAGAACATAAAGGTATAAAATGTTTTTCCTCTGGGCCTTTTCCCAGAAAATTTTATTCTCTGTGATTCTCCCAGAACTAGATACAGTAAGTTTGGTCCTTACTTTATTTAAGTTATATGTATTTACTTACATGTAAGGATCATTTACATCTCCAATCTAAGGAGAATAGTCCCTCGAGACATGCTCTATCTGTGTAAGAACAATGCAGGAATTCACACTTCTGGGATGTATTTTGCTAACTTTTTTCTTGTGTTTTGGGCTAAAATCAAGGCTTTTGTCCTTGAAAATGGTAAACAGACACTTACTTCACAATTATAGTAAAGAAATATGGTCAATTCATTGAATGCTGGAAAAATTAAAAAGAAGTAGAACCTGAAAGTTGAATTGGAAAGATAGAGCAGTGGTATGGGGTCTATTTTAGAATAAAATATAAAGATTTAACTATGGCATTGACATGAACTGAAGGTATAAGCTAAACAGAACCAGAAGATTCTATCTGTGCACTGTGAGTATAAAACTTGAGCACATTCTCCTCCAACACTTAGCCAGCTCTCTGGCTAATGTAATGTTCTTTCTATAAGATTCTATTGTAGGCCTGGAGGGATGGCTCAGCCGTTAAAGACTAGGCTCACAACCAAAAATATAAGATTCTATTGTATATGTGTAGACAGAGGTTTCTGTCTCACCAGGTTCCACAACTGTTTAGTCCCAAATAAACACACAGAGGTCTACTTTAATCATAAACTGATTGGCCTAGTAGATCAGGCTTTTCTTATTAATTAATTCTTACATCTTAAACTAGCCCATTATTCTTGTCTATATTAACTACCTGGCTTGGTACTTTTTTGGGGAAGGCAGTCACATCTTGCTTCTTCTGGGGCTGGGTCACAACTGGACTGTGTCCTCTTCCCAGAATTTTCTTGTTTTCATTGTCCCACCTCTACTTTCTGCCTGGCTACTGGCCAATCAGCATTTTTATTAAAAATAATACAAGTGACAAGATAAAAGACCATAGTCCCACAGCACGCCCCCCTTTAAAAAAAGCAAGAACTCTGAATCTAATATCCTTTGTTTAGCTTTTCTCCTGACCATTATGCATAACAACTTGTAACCAACATTCTAAACAAAGGAAAATATCCATAGTCCATTTTGGGGGGAACATGGTGTAGTTTTCCAGGCTACTTCTTACTGATTGGGGGCACTGATAATCTTATGGGACCTAAAGAAAATTTAGAATTATGATCAAGTCATGACTGGAGTATCCTGTGAGGCTTGATCATCTGAGGCAGCAGTCTTGAATCTGTTTTAGATGTAGAACTTAGACATCTGAACCATCTGCCCCTATCAGAGATTTCTGTGATCAAACCTGATTTTTCTTAACTTGTAATGAATCCACAGCATCCCATTTCCTGTGGAAACAAAAGTAAACCCTCTTCTCCAATGTAACATACCTTTTGACTTTAATTTTTAAGTCAAAGTATTTTCAAATACCTATCTTAGATTAATTCAGCAACATTTATAAACAAATATCTTTTAGCAGCTGTTGTTCCTTCCTCAGCATTCAAACAATTCAAAGAAACATAATAACATACAGTATACAGATTCTCTGTGTGGTTTTTATCTTTACATGGCTTTATTTTAAACTCTATTTCTTTTATTTTTATTTTTAATTTTTGGCTTTTTCAGACAGGGTTTCACTGTGTATCTTTGTCCTGGAATTCACTCTGTAGACCAAGCTGTCCTTGAACTCACAGAGATCCACCTGCATCTGCCTCCCAAGTGCTGGGATGCTGCGATTAAAGGTATGTGCCACCACACCATAAACTCACAGAGATCTGTCTGCCTCTGCCTCCCAAGTGTTGGGATTAAAGGTGTGTGCCACCACACCCAACTACTCTCTTTTTTTTATTTTAAGAACTTTGTCCATTTTTTTTCTTTTCCAAGCCTACATATATTTTAAACACACTATCAACCATTTAGAGGCTTTCTTCATCTGAATCTATCTTTACTGTATATCTTGCTTTTTCTGACCACATGAGTCTTTAATTTGCTAAGCAATATGGCTAGGATTAAATCCATGGCTTTGATGGCTGGATCCAGCCCATTCTTTAGCTTTCTGAGAGTCTAGCTTTATGGCAGAGGTAGTGGAGAGCCATGTTTATTGCCACAACTCTATGGCATTTCACGGTCCATGCTACAACCAATAAGCATGTTGTAGGCTATTCATAAACACCATTTAAGGGTTTTGTGGCAGAGCTTCTTAAAAGGGCTACAAAGCTTTTGCAGCTAAAGCTTAGTCAGGAAGCCTCTCTTAAATGAGATGCATTTGCCTTTATCAAACAGAGCACATCCTGAGAAAATGTTGCTATCAATAAGCCATGCTTAACTCTATTCTTTTCTGTCTAGAATTACTTCTCAAGCTCTCTCAGGCTTTCTGTGGATGCAGTTGTCCAGACGCTTGGTAACATTTGTTGACTGAGGTTTTCTGTCCCACCAGTCCTGCAGCCGTTAAGTCCCAAAGAATCACACAGAAATCTACATTAGTTATAAACTGATTGGTCCATTAATTAAGTCTTCTTATTGATTAATTCTTATAACTTACATTAGCCCATAATTCTTATCTGATTTAGCCATGTGGCTTGGTACCTTTTTCGGGGAAGCAGTCACATCTTGCTTCTTCTGTGGCTGGGTCACAACTGTGGACTGCATTCTTTTCCCAGAATTCTCCTGTTCTCATTGTCCCACCTCTACTTTCTGCCTGACTACTGGCCAATCAGTGTTTTATTAAAAATAATACAAGTGACAAGGTGAAAGACCATTTTCCCACAGCACTTCCCCCCTTTTCTTAAAAAAATAAAAATAAAAGAGAGTTTAAAATAAAGCCATGTAAAGAAGAAAACACAGAGAGTCTGAATTATGTATATTACTGTGTTATCTTTGAATTTTTTGACTGTGAATGAGCTAAATACAGAGAAACATTTCATTGTATGGGTTGCTAAGCTAAATCAGCATGTATATTATATAGGTATTATGACTCCCAAATTTGGGTCTAAGGACATGTTGTTTTAGAGAAGAGGTTCTTCTCTTGCTTCCACAAAGGATGAGAACCTTTGGATTGTTTCCAGATTGGTGTGGTTTGATAGAACAAGATCCCCTAAATGATTGCCTTGAACACCTCTCATAAAATTACTTTGCCCAATAAACAGCTGGAAGAAATTTGCACAGAATTACACCCATATTCCCAAATATTGTTTATAATTGTTTGTTTAAAATTATTATATTTACAATTAAAGGGAGATATGCTGTAGAGATGAATAATTTGCTTTGGGATAGACCTTGGCTTATTGGTATAAATTTAAGGTAAATTTTGTTATACTGTATATGCATATTTCTGTCCTTGATTAAGGTACTGTATTTGTGTAGTTCATTTTAAAATGTAATGTATAATTAAGAAATATAGGTTAATAGATAGTAATCTATAATTGTCAATTTTATAGTCATATTAGTTAGGTTTTCTAGATATATAGAGATATATTTCAGTTAGTTAGATATTCTTCAAATCTTTCAGAGACCTTCAAAATATGGCACGTAAATGTTTTAAAAATTTAGGACTTTTTATGCATGCAGGATCCACCGAGAAATGACTGCTGAACTTGCCTAAAGGTAAGAGGATCCTTTGGGGATTCTGCTTCATGAGAGAGTCTGTGAGACATTCTGCAAGATACAGAAGAAAGTGACTGGAAAACTGCCAATATAAGCAGACCTGTCTTTGAAATTTCCTATTTCATGGAAAAGTCTGCTGAATACTATGGGCTTGAGGGCTGAAGATGGATGCCCCAATGGTAAAAAAAAAAAAAATTGGGTAACTGTCCAGGCAGCGAGATGTCTCTGTCAATTCTAGAGTTTTGGAAGTTGCTTACAATGTACTTTCTTTTTACTTAGGTAATATTATATCCTTCTGGAGTCTTTGATGGAATTGAAGAATTTATAGTTATAGCTTTCCTTAGTTATGATAAAAGATAAAGTAGATATAAATATTATAACTGTAAGCCGGGCGATGGTGGCGCATGCCTTTAATCCCAGCACTCGGGAGGCAGAGGCAGGCAGATCTCTGTGAGTTCGAGACCAGTCTGGTCTACAGAGCTAGTTCCAGGAGAGGCTCCAAAGCCACAGAGAAACCCTGTCTCAAAAAACAAAAAAAAATATATTATAACTGTAATTCTTGCTTGATACCTGTTTTCTTATATGTAATTTTACTATGCTAAAGTTAAAGACCCCCTTTTTGCTTAAACAGAAAAGGGGAAATGGTGTGGGAGGTGCTTCTGTCTATGTGTTGCTTTTATTGGTTAATAAATAAAGAAACTGCTTTGGACCTATAGCAGGGCAGAACTTAGGTAGGTGGGGAAGATGGAACTGAATGCTGGGAGAAAGAAGGCAGAGTCAGAGAGAAGCAACAAGCAGTCGCCAGAGTCAGAAATGCCAAAACTTTGCTGGTAGGCCGTGACCTCATGGTGATACACAGATTAATGGAGATGGGTTAAATTAAGATATAAGAGGTAGCCAATAAGAAATTAGAACTAATGGGCCAAACAGTGTTTTAATTAATACAGTTTCTGTGTGATTATGTCAGGTCTAAGCTAGCTGAGTAGCCAGGAACCAACATGCAAACTTTTCCCCTACATATATACTAGACACTGTTATTGTCAATATAACAATGCTGATTACAGAAACGA